CATTCCCTGCTAAATTTCAACAGGTGTTTTCCATTCATATTTTAAAATATATGCATGTTTAAAAGCTGGACCATGTCCTCTTCTTTCCACATCCTTCACCATTTATTCATGCATAATAATCTTGTCATTTGATGCTATGTAATCTGTGTAGTTAACAAGGTGACAACAAATAAATAAATTGGTTTATGATTTAGTTTTAGATAATTGTAAAGCACAACCCCAAATGATATTAAGTTCTTCAGGGTGTGTTGCATTGAATTCTGTTGTCATTAAGAACAACAGGACATAGTAAAAGGCCAAACATTTTTCTTTGGCTATCATAATTTATATTATCTCCTTTAGCAGAGATACACTAAGGGTTTAACCAAATATGTGCATCATGTATAGAGTTATCACAAATACAGTAAATTATTTTGAATGTGCTCCAATCAGAACTTGTATATATGCAGTACTTTACAGTCTTTATGCATAGTGATGAGGAGCTTTAATATTAAGTCATTAGAGATGAAGAGATTTTGCATATATCCATAGCAGTAGTTACAGAAAGTGTAAGTGCACCTTGATTCTTTTTGGCTACTGATTCTCCCACATCCTGACTGATGTGCCAAACAATGTTTCCACCTGGTCTCTTTGCAACATTGCTAATATTACACCATCAAGACAAGGAAATGAAAAAGTCTTTGTTTTCCCATAATAAACAAATTTATAAACAATATCTGATTATAGGGATGTGGCTTACATCACCTTAATGCCAAGCATAGTGCTACTGGCTGCACAAAACATGTCAGTTTTGTAAAAATTAACATTTCCAAGAGAGACCTCTGTATCCAAGACAAGAAGCAGAAACTGACGAAAAATATTTTGCATAGTAGATCCATCTTTTAACATAATAAATTAGATTGCATAAAAAACCGGTCTCTAAGCATTGGCCAAATTTTATCATCGAAAGCTATTTTTCTGGTAAGGGTAGGATTATGTAGTGAAATAAGTATGTGTTTGCTTTTTTGTACTTGGGAGAAAATGTGAGGTCTTATGTGATGTGGCATACACTGTAATATGGACCTTATCTTTCAATAAGTTTACTTTATTGCTAGCAGTTAAAATTCAGAGTTTGTGTGTTATGACAATATCATCTCTAAAATAGTTTGGTTATGTGTTGAAGGTATCTAAACAGCGTGCCATAAGTGCTTGGAGCTACAGAACATCAACTGATCAAAACATAGATCTGGACAGTCATAAAGAAATTGATATATAACAAAGATTAAATCTCATTAACATACATAACTTTTTATTTGAAATGGCTTTCAATTTTTATGTCCATTTAATTAAATACAAGTGATAAATAATGCGTGCTTCTTTGGAGCATAATAAACATTGTGAATGTCAGAAGTACATTTATGTTCCTTTGTCATGCATTTTCAATTCCAGATGTGCTGCAACATAATAGGTCTATGACTAGTTTGATGCATTGAAGCTCTTTTGTCATTTATGGTACATAATGTAGGTTAGATAGGTTCATAGAATTCTCTGTCAAAATGATTTTCTTCTAACTCTTTATCATGAGAGTCAATTAAAAGGCAACTACTTCTGACTGGATATAAGCAGATATTAGCAGAATATGGCAGATACCAGTGTCTTTATGTCATTGTTTTTTCTATTGTACTGCCTTGATATATGCATTATTAATTTATAGATATTTTTATTGGTTTAACCCTTTCCATGATACAAATGAGGCACCTCACTTGGAAACACCTGCCTATTCATGTGAATACCTCTTGTGGTTATTGAAGAGAAACTCTGCTTCCATTTTTTATACTTTAAATTAAGTGTTTATTTTTAACATTGGAAGTATTAAAAGCCACAAAGGAAGTGCTAATTTTTCTCAGGATCTGAGGTTCAAGTTGTTAAATCATGGGTTCTCACTATATTGTTTATGAATTTTGCAAATTTCTTCATTCAAAGATTGACTTCATATTATTGCAGTTGAGATGTTGTGACCTCTTTCTTTGTTCATGATTTAAAATTGAATCAGTGAAGAGCTGTTATATTTTATACATTCATTTCTATTGGAAGTAGCTTAATTTCCACACTGACTGAAAGCAGTCCTTAAATTTTGTGTGACTGGAAATTAAGAAGTATGGACAGAGTAACATCTCCATTCTTTCAACTTCACATTATTGCCATGATGATATTGACAAGAGAATGTTGTAACATATGCTGTACACCTAGTCATGACTTTAAAGCTGATTATTTTGCATGCCTAACCTAAAAGCTAATACATATAATAATTACCAAATTGTTTGTTGAAGTATTTTAGGTTCAAGACTTCATAACAACATTGTTTTGAAAGACTTTCAACACAAATTTAAGTTGTTGAAAATATAAGTAAATTCAGGGCTAACAGTTTTAAAGATTTTTCAAAACCTCTAACTTAAAAAATGTTTATTGTAATAGCCCTCCTGCATCCAGTTTTAAATATTTTCATATTTATAATTTGTATATTTATATGTGATGTGCTGATCTGTATAGAGATTCTCATTGTTGCTACATACATGTACAGTTTTACACTATAGTGCAGTCTTTGTTCACAGATAAATTTAT